GGGCAGCCATGCATACTCAAGATCGGTTCGTAAGAATTGGTTTTGGAATTGGTGGCAACCAAGTTCGTGGTTCAGTTCAAGTTCGCGCTGATGTTATGTCTCGTAGCCAACTAAATTTGAGTTATGTTCCTGTCTATTCACAGAGGCCTCTAGCCTATGCGAATTCTTTCAATGATAAGAAGATCAGATTTAAAGAAGTTGCAATGGATGGACGCAACAGAAACTATACATATCTAGACAATCGCAAGTTTCAGAAGAAAAAAAAACTCGATTTACTTACTTTTACTTGGTTTTTGTGCTGAAGATGTCTTGGATTGGCTTAATGAAGTTGATTACTTTCTCGAGTATTTTGACATACCCAAACACAAGTAAGTTCCTCGTGTAGCAATCATGCTTAAGAAAGGTGCTTCAGCTTGGTGGGAACAGCTAAAGACTAAACGTAGGAGGCAAAGAAAATAACCTATGCAATCATGGTCAAAGATGAAAAGGTTGTTGATTGTTAAATTTTTACTGCCAAATTATCAGCAGATGTCTTATCAACAATATCAAAATTGTAAGAAAGAGAGACATTTTGTCAACGATGGCATCTAGAATAATGATAATTTTGTAGAAGCAATTAGTGATTCTAAAAAGATTGGTTGTGAGAAAAAAATTATTGCTTCACCTTTTATAGTTGAAGAAAATGAATTTTTGTTCATACTTTAATATCATGTGATGGCTTGAGAAGGTTTCTGAAAATTTAACTTCAGAGATAATACATGGTTCGAAAGAATCGGATATAGAACAAAAGGAAGAGGAAGATGGCACTGAGTTGACCATCCTGGGAATAGTAGGTGATTACCCACACAATGCCATGTTCCATGGTTGTATCGCGACCGACGCGGCCTTGAGGTTAATGCAACGTTTACTGGGAACAATTCAATTGTTGTGAACATGAAAATTGCCTTATTGAGCATCATGGGGGAAACAAATTCTTAAGTACTGACCTTTATTGTGCCAATGCCTTCTATACTACTTATTTAAGAAAATGGCCGCTCGTAAATTTGGATGATATTACAATTTTGATCATTGATGAGGTAAATCTGGAACGCTTCCTGATTTTTTGAGCATGAATTTTCCGCTTCCATTATGAAAAAAAATATCAAAAATTGAGAAGAAATTCTCAATGGTATCGAATTTTGTTTATACAGTATACTCATATACGATCGGTAGTGAAACTCAAGGACAAGTTTTTTGAAAGTAAATGGACTAACGTAAGACATATTTTAGTATTTTGTTTAATTAGGTTTATTTATTTATTTTTATTTTATATTTTTAGAGAGTTTTTAGTTTTAGGTAATTTTCTTATATTTTTATTTTTTTTTTATATTAGATTTTCTTGTATTTTTAGTTTACTTAAGCAATTAGTTTGCTTTTCAATATTAGGGTTTTTTTAATTATAAATATGCAACAAAATTCGAACTTTTTTGTCAATAATATTTCAGAATTCTCTACAAATTTTCTTTTAACTTGTGAATTCAAGATAACCCTCATTCTTTGTTAACGAATTTATTGCTTTAAGTGAATTTTCTTTAGCTTGTCCATTTTTACTTTATTTTTTTATTAATATTTTTTTATTTTGACAAAATATTCACTTGTGAATTTTAACTTGTGAATTTTCCTAAGGCATCTTTTTTTATAAAAAATAGAAATGTTAGGACCTCACCTTTGGTGAACAACTAACATGACCAACCCTGAAAAGTCATACAGCTTTCAAGAGACTCAAAATGAAGAATTATATATATATATATAAAATAAAATAAAATAAAAATTCCAGCATCATGAGAAATTAGAATAATTTGAAGAACTACAAGGTGAAGGAAAGCAAACGTAAATCGTTGATCAAAACTGAGTTCCTAAAACAAGGAACCATTTGGGCTGGTTAAGGATTCTTGATCAAAGGCTTCACACAAAGTTAAAATGATGCAGGACAAATGATATAATCTAAGGAAGCAAGCTTGGAAGGCAACATTCTTCCAAAATAGGATCGAACCAGAAAAGAGAATACAACTGAAGCCAACATCAAATCTAGCAAAAGACCACACACTGAAAAGAATTCAGTCCAACAGCAGAAATGCATGCTTCTACAATAAACAGCTCATATTTCTGCCTCTCTTAATCCTTCAGCTATGCCTCAGAAACTTGAGGTTGAAAATAATATATATATAAAAAAAGAAGATATATATATATATATATATATATATATATATATATATATATCTTCTTTTTTTTCTTTTCCCTAGTTTATATATATCCACTGCCACAAACAAATTTTGTTTTAACACACTCATATCCTACCAAGAAGATCACCACCCCATTTTAGATTTTCTAGGGTTACAACAAATGCAAAATGACTAAAAGCCGACTTCAGGCCTCTTCAATGAATTTGGCAATAGTACAGATAGATAATAAACAAATCAATCACAAACCTTGGAAAAAAATATACATCCCAAACAAGTGAAGCACAAACAACTTGAAGCTAGGGTTAGCAAAGACATTACGAAAAAGTTTCAAGCGTTACTGGTTATTGCTTCATCTAATTCATCCAGTTTCAATTCGAGTTACTATCGGTTTTATCTTTTCTTCAATCGCTTCTCTTGTTTCAATGAAGCACAACTACAAATAAGCTCACAAATTGATTCAAGCTAATCAATAAAGGGTTCCAAGCTGATAAATTCTTTGAGAAGATTATCGGGAATAAAATCCAAATCAATCAAATTAATAAAACACTGTCATCACACACACACATTACTTAACACCTATCAATGAGAAATGACATTCGCACTCAATTATTTATTTTTTATTTGAACACACACATTGTTGTAATTTTTGTTTTTAAATAAAGAAATGACACAATTGTCCTACACAGCACTCCAGAACTACAATACCCTGTACTTTTTACACTCCACTTAAGGAATAATTATGTTATTTCATTTACTATAACAATGCATGTATATAACACTTGATCCCAGTCACTCAAATGGAATATATCATATAAGATCTTCTTAGCATAATATGTATCACCCACAAATTATATGCATACAGGAATCCAAATAATGATGATATAAAAGTTTCCATCAATCCAAAATAAACATAATAACATAAATAACCAAATGACATATTGCTATAATTTAAAATTTCATACACCTTACCAACAAGATCATATTAGAGTGAAATTCACTCATCTCTGAACCCAATTCATGCCATTTATTCATTATTTAAAATTGACACATCCCAAACTTTTTTGGGGAAAACACTATAATCCACAAATCGGACACATATAGGGCTAAGAACAAGAGCAAATGAGTTATTAAGTTTATAAGATCCAAATTAACCTAACAACAGAAATAACCCAAAATGATCTAAATCTCACGAAGGTCCACAAATCGAACACAGGTCATTGAGCGCTCAATTAAGACCCTCAGGGATGGGATTGACCTAAATTATTCATAACAACAGAGATGACACAAAAATGCTACTACGTATCTAAAATTAATGATCTAATGAACCATAACAAAAAAAATTCTGAAAAACAGTGAACATCACACGCAGTATAGCCCACAAATCATTGAAATCGAACATTCACAGATCCAATTAAGACTCATTAGGGAAAACAACAACAATGATCCAACTATCCATAACAACAATGATCACACAAAATGCTACTCGATATCCACAAATTCAAATCTCATACACCATACCATAAGAATTTCTGAAAATAACACCTAGTACAACCCCACACGTGCACTCACACACACATACACACGTGTATAAGTGCAAACACGAAAAGGATTTCCAAACATAACAACTACTAGTATAAATGTTCCATAAGTTCATAACAACAGAGACGACCCAAAATTCTGCCACACATCTACAACATAAGATCTCATACACCATACAAACCAAAGAAAAAAACAAAAGAGTGAAAACAATTGAAGAGGGGGGGGAGGGGGGAACGCGTCAACCCAAGAATTAGACATTTATATCTTTTCGTTTATTATTTCTCTTGTTTCAAACAAGCACAAACAACTATGAATAAAGGCTCACTAGTTGATTCAAGCTATTCAATCAAGGGTTCCAAGATGATAAATTTTTTGAGAAGATACTTGAGAATAAAATCCCAATCAACCAAATTCAAAAAGCATTAAAATCAGACAGACACACATTACTTGATGTCTACCAATGGGAAATGGCATTCACATTCGTCTATGTAACATTCATTTGAGCACACTCATGTATGTAACTTTTGTTTCTTAAATAGAAAAATGAATGAAGAAATGAAATTGTCCTGTAGAGCACTCTGAAACTACACTACCCTGTTGATGTGGGAGTGAAAGCGAGAATGAAAGAGTGCAAGAAAATGAAGTGCAAATAATAATATCACACACACACGCACACAATCATCTACACTCCAATTTTGAGGTATAACCATGTCAATTCATTGTTATTTGAATTCCCATGTATAAAACCTATATGTAACACTTAATCCCAATCAATCAAATGAAATATACAATAAGATTTTCCTAGTATAGAACCTGTCACCCACAAATGGAACATATATGGGAATCCAAATAACAATGATAAAAAAGCTTCCATCTGTTCAAATAAACATAATTACAGAAATAACCAAATGCCACAATAGCCATATTGTTAGAATTTAAAATCTCATATACCTTAAAGATCACTGTAGAGTGAAATTCATTCATCTGTGAACCCAATTCGTGCCATTTATTGGTAAAATTGACACAACTGAACCATATCCCAAACTTTTTTCGGAAGAAACACCTATAATCCACAAATCAGACCAAATCTCATAGCTTACAATGATCCAAATGATCAAGAGCAAATGATCAAAATGACATAGCTTACAATGATTCAAATGATCCCTTAGAACAGAGATGACCAAAATGATCCAAATCACATCATCATACCCAGATAATAACAAATAAATAAAAACGCTATAATTAAAATCCATCTCACTTATATGTACATACCAAAAGAATTTATCCATAACAACACAGAACACACAAATGCTACTACATATCTAACCAAAAAGAATTTTTCTGTACATAACAACTATAACCCAAATATCCCCAAAAATGGAGCACCATGGCAGACCCATTTACCAAAAAAAAAAAAACTTGCATTTATATAAAATGATCCATAACAACAGAGAAACCCCAAAATTATGCCACACATCTACAACAGAAGATCTCATAAACCATACCCAAAAAAAAAAATTAAAAAAAAAAAAAAAGAAAAAAACACAACAGAAAAAAGGGAAAAGCATTAGTCCGAAAATTCACCTATCTCCGAATTGATCGATCAATCCTGAGCTTTCAACTTCTCGATTCGCTGATTCAACTGCTCCATGTGAACGACCAAGTGGGTGACAGAGTACAGCATCCAGTAGAACAACAGAGCGGAGGCGATCAAGAGCGCGTTCCTCTGGCTCTTCATGATCGACTTCTGGTGACGGAGGTATTCGGAGGGCGTGCACGACTCGGGCGATTCGCAACTCGGCCGATTCTCGTACTTCCAGTATATGTCCATGAGCAAGAAGAGGCAGAAGGGCACCACAGAGAGGAAGGGTTTGAGGAGGTTCCTTGTGACGGAGACGAGACCCTTCCGCAGACCGTGGAGGCCTGGGAGGGTGAGGAGGAGGACCATGATGGCCTCTGCAGCCGCGACGTACCCGAGAACTACCCACTCCAACGCCATTCTGTGATGATTTTTGAAACCCTAGATCAAGATGAAGGTGTGTATTGATGTATTGGTTTCTTCGATGCAGAGAGTTGAGAGAAGAGGCTGTGGAAATTGACTCGGGACAGTTTTGAATCTGGAAAAAATGTACACGTAAACAAACACGTGGCAGTTTTTGAAGAGGCGGTGATAAACAAACAGTGGCATTTTTTTTGGAGCAATTTTCCATCATTAATATAGTAGTAATACTTATATTATATGTAAGTAAAATAAGGGCAGTGGTAAGGAACCAGAAGGTATTCCAAAAAAACGATGGAATCTTTCGTGACAAAGTCATGTCTGATTCTCATCCTCCATCATGTGCAGGTTAAAAAAAAAAAAAAAAAAGGGAAGGAAGGTGATCTCACACCGGCAGTGACAAGCGGTTCAGGTGAGGGCGGTTCGGGGCTCGGCTGTGGCTAATCTGGGTTGAACGGTCGGCTGATGTCCAGTGGCGTCATCGTCGCCGTCAAGAAACTCAATCTGCGACGACGACTTCTCGATCTCCGACGAGACAGATGGCGACCGGATATGGGGACGATCCGATGATGGGCAGCGGTGGTTCACGACGTTGGTTCATCATTTGCTTGATGACTTGATGACAAATGATAAATTTGAGGAAAAGCAAAAGAAATTAAATTAAGAATCCCATTTTTATGTTGTTCTAGGATCCAGAGATTGGAAATTTCAGCCGAGTTAAAAGTTGTGTCATGCTAGATTGATTGGGATCTTTATTCTATTGGGTCTCAGACGATAAAAAGTGATTGAAGTTTTTAATTGCCTTTCTTGCACATTTCTTTTCCTTGACATGAGGAATTTCTTCTCCCTATCATTCATTGGTTCTTGCAGAAGTACAAACTATGAACTGCTGTTGACGCTAAAATCGGCCAACTAGAACAGATCTTAAATTCTTAAGTGAATAATTTATAGTAATAGTTTAGAGAATAGAAAGGAGAAGAAATAGATATAGAAAGAAATATAAGAAGAGAAAGATTGACAGAGAAAGAAAAAGAGCGAGAGAGATAGAGATAGAAGAGAAATAGCAAAGAAGTTATTCTAGGAAAGGCTTGAAAAAGCAGACAAATAAATTAAAGGATTTTGAGGGTGCTGAATATCTATTTTAGCATTCCTCTTTAATTATTTTTAGAATAAAATATAGAAACAAAATTCTATATGCAAGTATTTTACTTGCATTACAACTTTATCACAACTAACTTTGAAATAAACTAATCCTAAAGATAAACGTAAATATTTAACTAACATCAACTAAAAGATAAATACTAAAATTATAATCCATATCCATTAAATAATTCAAATACTTCAATCTCCTTTGCCTCTAAATGTAGCTTTTGTAACATTTTCCACTTGTCAATTTATACCCAAATTGGTTACCATGTCATTAATACAAAATTTACCAAAAAGGGTGTCAACAACTACTGTATGTTCTACTTGCCTAATATTTTATATGCCGTGCCTTTATGCTTTTATAGGACTTTATCCAGAACATCATTTACTTGTTATGCATCCACCAATTGTGGATTCTTCACTGGGCTCAGCCAATGATGAACTTTACAAAAAATTCAATTCTTTCAGTTAAGTTAAGCTTCCACATGGAAGCTCAAAACCCATTTTCTGATGAAGCATGATTCAATTCACGAAATGGATGATTCGCAGATCGTCGGAGCTCCGGCAATTGTCGCCGGTGATGAGGATGGTCCTTTAGCTGCGAAGGCAAAGGGGGAAGCTAGAGGAAGGGGCGAGAAGAAGAGGAGGTAGACTTTATTGCCAAAGGTTTAGGCAGACAACTGCCATCACATCAGTGCAACCAAATTCACTGACCTCATCACTTCCGAGGTCCACCACAGTTGCATCCCACCATCTTCTCCAGATCTCTGGTCTCCGCATCCGCACCCGCATTCGCATCTTCCTCATTCTCCGTCGACAACCCCACCAACGCAGCCGACAACTACATCTGGAAGGTTAGCCCTAACGGAAATCCCACCATTTTTTCCAAATCTTCGGTCTTCTCTATTTTTGACGGGGAAGTTCTTCAAGGTCAACACCAATGGCTGTTTTACTCACATGTAAATGGTTTTATAGAATCTAACGTGGCTTTGCCACGGAAGATTCGGTCAGTTTTTTGGGGGTTACACTTCGCCCCCTTATCATTTTTCGTAAAATAAATGTAGGAATAATTATCATTGCTTAAATAACTGAGTGTCTTGTAACATACCTTATCTTAAATACACCGACTTTCCAACATAAAAGATGACTTTTTTTAAAAATAAAAAATAAATAATACTTAATATTCGAGAATATCTTAAAAATCTTGAATATATTATTTTATTTATATATTGAATTAATAAAAATACAATGATTGTAATAGTTATTTAAGACATTGTGTCAAAATCAATAATAATAAGACATATTAGTGTTATTTTTTAAATTATAAGAAAGGTCATTGTTATTTAAACAATAAACATGAGATACAAGTAAACGTATTCCATAAATGTATTATATAAGTGCAGTATTTCAAATCTAATATTGTTATATTTTAAATTTAAATTTAAATTCACAGCAAATAAAATAAAGTTATTGTAGACACTTAAAAATTCACATAATGTGTAATTTGGGCTTACCATCAATGTAGCCCACTTTGAAACATGGGCTGGTCAGCCTAACACTCTAAGCCCATTACAACATATGGGTCATGGATCAACCCAAATTGTTCAATCAACCAAACCCACTGTAATAGGCTAATTCCAAATTGCTAACTAACCAGGCCACTTGGAAATCATGTTAGTTAGATAAAATAATAATTATTCTTAACACATACATACACATATATATATATATATATATATATATATATATTTGAGGATACTTATCACTTATGATAATTATCCAAATTATAATTGTGATAATTATCCAAATTGGCTCAAATTACCGTCTTGCCCCTTCAGGAAATCTATAAATAGAAGAAGTGAATGGGAAGAAGGAAAGAGGGATTCCAACAGAACACTGAAGCTCTGATGGATTCTACACTCATTCATTACTTGAAACTTTGAAAACATTCAAACCTTTGAAAATTTGAATACGTAGGACGATAAGCACATTCTACAAGTGCCGGCCCTATTCAAAGACCTACATTCAACCGTTTGAGATTAAGTTCCTACAACCTTCAATCGGAAATCAATCCAAGTTTCCTTCATTTCTCAAAGATTTGAAGAAAGTCTTTTGCAATCGATTCAACATCAAGTATTGAAGCCTTTGCATTGAAGATTTAGGAGATTGAATTAGAGGACGTTCTTTTTTTTTTTAAAGAATATTCCAGAGAGTTGTACTCACTTTTTAAATATTAATAAAAGTATTATGTGTTCCACTATTTGTATTCTTTTATTGCAAATTAAGACACAAATTTCTGGCACGCCCGATGGGACATCTTCCTGCCTCTCATCTCTTTCTCCTACATTAAATCATCAGAAATATTATTCTTTTGAACCCATGGCTCCTCTCAAGGTTCAGACTAGTAAGAATACCTAAAAGAACATCGTTGCCTCAAAGGTCAACGTCAAAGCTACTGTGAAATTTCTGAATTCTAAGAACCCTTCAAGCGATGGAAGCACTTCAGCGGGCCCTGTGACACGAAGTAAGGCCCTAGGAATCAGTTCATCCAATCAACAAGGTTTAAAGAAAATCAATCCCGCTGAACCAATGAGTATGAAAACTCAACATGTCAGCTGTGACAACCCTGGTTTTTAGGCCAGCGTGTCCTGTGATGAACCGTAAGGATGATCCGATAACGGATCTGAATGCGGAAGCGAAAACAGAAGACAAGACTCTAAGAAGTCAAAGTGACCTTCCATGAGGTCATGGAACTCAACAAGAACTGATGCAGAAGCAAAAGATCGAAAATATGACAAATAAGCCCCCAGGGGCAAAATAGTTATTTATAAAAACTGTAGATTCAGGTGCCACCGTGCACACCGCTGGAAGGATAATGAAAAATTAATCAAGATGGACTCAAGAATCACATGATTCAGAGTCCGGACGAAGGAGAAATGGCATGACGAAGAAAAACGAGCACTTAAGGCAAAAAGGGTAAACTGGTAATTATCCAGGAAGAACCGGGTGCAACTGAGCATACCGTTGGAAAAACAGCGAAAAATTAGTCAAGCTAAAAAAAAAATTCACTTGAATCGGAATCCGGACGAAGGAGAAAAGCCCAGAAGAAGAATTGACGTCGCGACGGCCCGACGAGGGGCCATGGTGCACACGGCGCCCATGCGCGAGCCTACCGGCGCCCAAAGACATGGCTGGTGGCAGCCCTTGGCTGCTGCTACATTTTTTTTTGATCTGCCTAGAACTGAGGCTTGAAACGGAGGTCAAGACGAGTTTTTCTGGAAAAACACGAAGAAGAAACCCCCCCTAAAATCGAGTTTTCTACCTAACAGTGTGAAGGGAATCGAAAAAAACTCACTGTGAAATGCCGAAAGTGCCCTTAGATCAAAACTGAACCAGAGAGTCATAAAGCTGCTAAATGAAAACTGGAAGCTGAAACTTCACGAGGGATTTCCAGTACCAAGACGACATTTTCTGGAAAAACACGAAAAAAAAACCCCCCCCTAAAATCACGTTTTCTAACCAATCGTGTCAAAAGAAGAAAATAAAAATGAGGTGAAAGGTCCATAATGCCCCTAGATCAGAATATGCAAAAAAAATGCGAAATGAATTCACAAGAGGCTCAAAACACAAACGGTGAGGTTTTGCCCGGAAACGACTATACATGCAAATGTAACTTACCTATTTAGACGCATTACAATGGTCCATGGCTTAAAAATATAGCCGATACAAAATCCGAACCCCCAATGGGCAAAAAGGAAAAAATGGACTTGGAATGGAAAACATGGAATCTAAAAATGCAAAACGGGATCAAATGACCATTTGGCCATTGGCTACACTTCATACAAGATTAATAAGACCCTATAAAAGAATGAAAATGGAATTCCCATACCCGATGCAACCGTGGTGAAGCAATGACTTGCGATTTTTCAAGTTTTTCATAACATTTCATGAAGTTAAAAAGTTGTATAGAATACAATATACATGTCATTGGCCTCCGGCCTCATCTCATACATATCAAATACATTGAAAGGAGTGTACTTAAGTACACATTACATACATGAAATCAAACA